ACATTGTGTTGAAGTTAGATGTCCTTAGAAAGGACACACTGATGGATCAGCTATCTCATGATGAAGCTTTTGTAGAGAAAAGAAAATTTCAAGTTTATTATCTAAAAGATTGAAGAACTAAGTGGGAAATAGAATCTCTATTTATATGCTTTTGAATAAGATTTTTGTACAAAGGTATGAAACCCATGTGACCCTTGCTGGCAACAGAAGAAGGATCAACACTATGTATAGTGGTTGTCATACCAACGCCTTAAAATTATGACCACATTTATAAGAGAAAGAATGACCACATTACCACATTACCACATTACCACATTCATAAGAGAAAGAATGACCACATTACCACATTACCACATTACCACATTACCACATTACCACATTACCACAACACACGACCATATCAATATGGCCACATCAACATTGTACACCATCCTAATTTCCTGTGTGTGCTTTGAATACATGTAACTTATTAACACAGGGAAACAGTTCTGTTATAGAGTCCTTGAGTCACACATATTTCAACAGTAAAGACCATAATTTGGTGTAATTTAGCCACCAAGTGTTGAGGTATAAACTACTGGAGAGAGTGTCCATGTGCAAAGCCAATTGAAGAATCCTGCTTTGTCGTGTTCGACTTAACTACAATTTCACGANGGAGAGAGTGTCCATGTGCAAAGCCAATTGAAGAATCCTGCTTTGTCGTGTTCGACTTAACTACAATTTCACGACATTTGCAGAATCCAACTGTTCCTCTAACTTCTCGGGTGTTGTTTGCCAATTTTGAAAACCACTTTTGTTAAAGATGGTTACCTTGTGCCACAGTCCTGTAGCAAATACGAGAATCACCCCATTTTCCAAAGTAAAGGATGCATAGGACAACGCGTTGACTCGAGGGGAGAGAACGGGGTGGGGGTGGGTGTAAAAGCAATTGCAAGAAATTGAAAAGTAGCTCTGAAAACAATAAATGCACGTTTCCTCTTCTTCTCACTCCGTCATTGTGTTGTTTTGAGATTGGTTATGAGCCCTTTGTCATTTAAAATGTAGAGGAAATCGAAAAGGTAGGGGAGAGTTTAATTCATCGGTTTACGAAGCGAAGGAGAACTTAATGGAAACTCTCCGTCGTCTAAGATTGATGAATTAAGGGTTGTAGATTGCTCTGACATTTGTGTTTTTGCATACAAAATGTGTAGTGCACTCAATATTTAGGACTAGACGATTATAAAAACACGGTGCAGCAATACAACGCATATCCGGGCTCCGCTTACAGACAACGAGGTAAATCAAGTAATCAATTTGTACAAATGTAGTGGAAAATTGGGGGACTTTGAGATGAGAGATGTAAAATAAAGTAAAATATGGAATTCAGTTGTGTTGTTAGGATGGAATTCCAAGATTTTTAAAAAAATAGTAGCTACGGAAAGGTAACAACAACACATTGTAAATGTTTTTTTGAAGACAACAAAGAAGTTTTAGTCAATCCAAAATGCACGAGGAGTCTCTTCCAGGTCAAGTATATGCTTATATATCTCCCTATTCCATTACCAATCAATGATGTTAACAAAGTTTTCGGAGTAATATTCGGTAAATGATTGGTGTGTAGAGAGATGGAGAGAGGGAGAGGGAGAGAGGGAGAGAGAGAGAGAGAGAGAGGGAGGTAGGGTGTGTGACTAGCGAAATAGACGTAGAATAAACGATAGTGTCTTTCCAAAAGCTCATACTCCCTATCCTCCAATTATATTAACACTATACGACGACCATTCCATCTTTCTTGTTCTTTGTATTCAAAGCCACCCCTCCCTTTGAGATCTGCTCTACCTAGGCTTAACAACGTTAAAAAAAAAAAGAAAAGAAAATAGAAAAGAGGCACTCTTCTGCATACGAGGTAGTCTTTGATAGTAACACTCTTACTGCACTGCAAGGGCTTGCCATTCTTTGTTTGTAAAGTAGGCTGAGAGAGAAACTCATCAATTTGCAAGGACGTTTTCCCTTCCCATCCCAACAATGTCGTTGGTATTACATCCAAATCAAAGTTTTTTGAGTCTGTTTCTTGTGAGACTGGAAGCTTAAAAATAAAATAAGATAAAATAAAATAAAAGAAAAGAAAAAAAAAATGTCGTCCACTCGAAAGCAAAGAAAAAAAGAAAAAAAAAAAAAGAGCAAAAAGAGTAAGGGAAGGAGGTTTTGTGCTGTAGACATAAGTCTGTTCATATTACACGACTTTTACACAAAAATATGATATCAACGACATCGTCAATAAAGTTACCACAAAGTTAAATGTAAGAAGGGAGAATCCTTTCAAACGAAAAACAAAAAAAAATAGAAAAAAAAGGAAAATAAATATTAATAAAAGTTAAAAAACTTTCAAAAAATTAAAAAAAAAAAAGGATAAAGAGGATTTTATTGTTTTAAAGGCACATACACACATACACATATATATATAGATGTAGAGCTAGTTTTGCGAAACCTTTCTTCATTTACGGTGAAGCTCTAATTTTTCTACTATACACAGCCCATCGGCATCACCCGAAAAATCTCGTCCCATTTATTCAAAAACAAACAAGATCAACAACAACTGCAGGGGGGGGTGGGGGCGTGGGGGCGTTACGTGCCAGGGTTTTACAGTAGGTAGAGGACTTTGTACAAGAGTATCTATTGGCGCCAGCACACAGGTTTTGTATACAAGGACTCATTCGCTCAGCTACATAATCATTGATGAGGGAGTGCACTGTTATACGCAAGCCACTCTTTTTTGTTTTCAAGAAGCTCCATTCATGATATCCGCACCAAACTATCAAAATCAATTTGTTAGGGTGTGGTTGTTCACTCTCTTTACCCACCTTCTGCCATGCATACACACATGCACAAAAAAGATCAAAACTGTCCAGCGTATGCCCTGTTTGTATAATATAATAACAGACACACAAAAGTTAGATGTATCTTGTTGTATATACATTCACACTCTTTGTTGGCCTCATCTACTTTGCAAATGTCTCAGATTGGCGGCAAGGTTGAAACACAAGTAGATGATGTTACACATTGGGTGAAACCTACATCCGCCTCGAGACAACCGGTAGTGTTTTTTTCCTCTATTGTTGATTTCAAACCGTTTCATACGATGGAAGGAAAGTATACGCGTCAAGTGAGAAAAATTCCCCAAGGAAGTGGCATATAAGAAAGAGTGCAAGGGCAAAAGCGTTATAGAGTTTTGTGGAGCGTAAATATGTTGGGATGTCACATGTGTTTGAGGAAATGGTTTACAACACATACACACAAACCTCGGTTAAACTGACTCTTGATGGAAGGTATCTTGGCGAAAGAGAGAGGAAGGGGGGGTCAGGATAAGGTTCCTTGTTGGTGTATGCTGCTCATACTCATTACAATTTTCAACGTGTAATGTTGTTACATGATGCGAACTATGTGTTGAAGTAAAGTTGAGTGTTTCTATTCGTAATGTCACACGAGCCTTAACTCTATGCGTATGCACTCCACTACAATCTATGTTCTCTTATTAATGTATATCTGTATTGCTCACTCCCACTCCATTCGCCTCAACTCAATTTCACTAGTCAACAACATTACCTGGCTAAAACACAACATCCCATACATACACGTAGTAATTTATCCGACATCGCCAAACCTGTTTCAACCAGCCTCCGTAAATCCGGGTTTTATTATTGTAACCTGTTTTCTACACTGACCGTTAAAAACACCGTTTTAACTGCTCGTGGCTCTCTCTCTCTATGCGATTCTGTGTGAAATTCTGTAAACTCCGCTCCATTGCATCCGGGAGTGGTGGTAACGGGTAAGGAATAAAAACAAAACGACTCTGGCTGTTGTTGTTGTTGATCGTTTTCCGTGGTGTTTAAGAAGCTGCACATGAAAAAACAAACAGCCACTCTCTCTTTTTCTCTTGTGTCTTTGATGTATTATAATATATATTATATACAGTATATACAGTACATACAGTACATACAGTACATACAGTACATACAGTACATATATATATATATGTTTCACTAAGTTTGTGTAACGTCCAAAGGAATGTGCTATAGAGGATTTTGCTTTTTTTTTATTTTCTGTTTCCAAGTTTTTTGGTGTTCCTTCTTAAAACGCATCTGATGCCCTATCTCACAGATCTGCATGCTATACACAACTGAGTGGCAGAGTGAAAAGAAGGATCTGAGCACTTACGGTGTCTTTGTCTTTGTCTTTGTCTTCTGACGCTAGCTCACTTTGACAAGTAACATAGCCTACAAACTTTCCTACACTATTGTTTATGAGAAAATAAAAACTTGCATGACAACAGAATGTCTTCCCGATTGGCGAGGTGTAAAGTTATACTCAATTGTACCCAAGGGCACACTCAGATACTTTTGCTCTTGTCTTTACGCTTATTGTGTTGCATACATTAGAGATTCTGCATTTTGTATCGCATTGTAAGGTACCTGCGCTTATTTGTCTTCCTTTGTTGGTAGCGGAACAGGCA